ATTTACAAAAGTGTGGATCTTTTTGTTCATTATTAACTTGAGGAGAGTTCTGATACTCTACGAAGTAATTATCTGATCACCTATCCCATAATAATGCAAACTAGATCTATGCTACTCTGAAGGTCTGAAGAAGAAAAAAGAGATTAAGCAGAACTGAATCTTGAAGCTTCATTTCCTGGAAGCCTAATTTTTTTCTGGTTAAAAAAAAGTAAAAGATGTGAATAGGTGTATGGGTAACATTCTAGGCTATAGGACTCTAGAGCTGTGTTCAGAAGTACAATCTTAATGCTATTCCTAGTAACTATACACAACCTGCCATTAATGAAGTATCAAGATCCACTGTAAACAAAGTCACAAGATTCTAGTCATCCAATTTAATAATTATTCATTTTGGGTGATAGAGAAGAAGCACTAGGGGAACAAAGATGCTACAAGAAATGCAGTGAGAATAAGAATCACCATTACATAGATTAGCATGAAGGTAAAAAAGTGAAAAGGAACATTTGTAAAGAAGCTTATGAACCATGATAGGACATAAATACAAATACTATATTATGTAAGCAGAGTGGGCTTAACTTACTCATTCTTGCACTGAATCCAAGTATCTTTGTCTCTGCCACAGCTACCTTTCTCTGTTCCTTCTATATTTAATCTTTCATAGCAATATTTATCAGCAGATGTCACTTCTGCACACAAAATATATTTAAAAAGATAATGATGTGTGGTTGGAGTTAGAAATTCAACATTGTAAATGTAAATATTTGTGTAAAAGCCATAAATTGTATACTCTCAATTATTTTTCTTACAGACATACAAAAATAAAATATAAGAAACTGCTGGAGCACAAAAAATACATAAGAATTTGTACCTAAAAAGATGCCATCTAACCTAGCCTTTGCCAACCTGATATCTTTATTTGCATTCAACTTAATGTTCCATTATGCCACAGTCAGCATGCCAGAAATACTGAAAGGAAAAGAAAATGAAAGAGAAAATGCTTCATCTAGTTCTATTGAATTTATTTTTGACTTTATTTTTAAAGTGTTTTATAGATTTACCTGATGGCTGAAAGTCCTCTGGCTCCATATATATGAATTTTAATAAACCCAGAACTCATAAATAGGTTCTCAGTTAGGGGAAACTAATGGGAAAAAGAATGAAGAGGAGGGAATTTCTAAAATGGAGACCTAAAAACACAATTGTCAACAATTCCAATTAGGCTAAAAAGAATGGAAGACAGAAAAAGCCAACACGCTTAATGAAGGCTTGAAAATACCTAACAGTATAAAAAGGAACAGGTCATAATGAAAGTTATTCTGGAACCAAAGGATGGCATCAGGAAAAGGAAAGAATTTGCTGAGATAGCCAAATGATGCTAAGAACAACAAGGGCTTCTTTAGACAAGATAAATTTCTTAAATTTTCTTTAGAGAAGATAAGAAAAGACAGAGAAAAATTCATCAGTTGTTCTGAAAAAATGATAAAATGTGATCAATAAGGATGTGCAAAATTCATCAACTCAGAACAGAAATGGAACATATTGGAGAACTCCAGATTATTCCATTCCTCCCTCTGGATCATTCCATTCTTGGGACGGATAGGCAGTTCCTGAAAGTAAATTCTCCTACCCGTAGTGGTTTGAAGTATCATAAACAGGGATGAAACGGGTTTGTTCTGGGTCTCAACCATCTTCAGACCATTTAAATTCACTGCCTTTTAAGAGAACCTATTTCCAGAAACTGCCAAACCACCTCTTGAACAATATTGTCCTGATGAAATCTGGCCAAGTTCTGAAAAGGTACCAAATTTTGGGATGAGGAAAAATATAAAAAATGTGTACATTGTATACCTGTGAATATATTCAATACCTAATCAACGAGTTTGCAAAAAAAGAGAAAACACAATTTCAAGATATTACTCACTATCTCCCCATATGTATTTACACTGTCTGTCTCTTGTTTTGCATCTTCCTCCAAAACAAATGCCCTAAAGAAAAATGTTAGAAAGTAATCACCATGTTTTGTAAATATTTGTTCAGTAAACAACCATTGCTTATCTATTTTTCTACCCATGAAGTAAATACAGTATATTCAGGCATGTGCTGCCAAAGTCAGTTTGACTGTGTTTAATGAGATTCAGGATTGCAGACTTAACATAAAATTTATTTAGGTTTATAAATTGTTAATTTCAAATGCTTAAAGATTCAAAACAAAAGGCCGCTAGATCCAAAAAAGTGATGTATTTAATTATTTTTTTGTCCTAGTCTCACAACTCTGAGTGGCACACAAGATAAGAAAACAATTCCCTTTTTCTACTTTTTGTTATAGAGGAACACATAGATATTTCTGTGCCTTGTATTTTGCTTCAACATACTCAAAAATTATGGCTCCAAGTTTTCATTTTCTGCAAAAAACAGTGGAACTGAGAACAAATTATTATAAATTCACATAACAAGAATTGTAAATGCACTAAGGGCTATAATTGCTGTTACTGATTGCATGTAGAATTGAGCGCTCTTGCTTACTAATTCAATGTTGGGCAGTTTCCCAGAAACCAATATCTAGCACAACATATCTGATTGTAATGTTTTTTCCTGCCAGTAAACTCATTTAGCTTTGAATGGATTTTTTTTAAATTAACTACTACCTTCTTAACATATACAATTTAGAATCCTATCATACTTTCAAGAGATATTCAATTACCCTATTTATATTTAGCTGTTTTTTGTTCAATAGATTTAAAGCAATTAAACAACACAGAAATCCATAAAGCTTACTTTACTCCACCTTCTCATGATTTTGCTAACAAATCCTGTTCATAGTATTTTTGAAATCTGTCTGAAATCCCATACTTGTCCCAAAGTCCAAGCTTTGGTGTTTTGAAACTCTTTTATCCCAACTAACTAGATTCTCAATATGGCACCTAAAAGCAACAACATGCCTGTCAATATATTCTTCAAAGCTTGTGTGAAGTGAATGCAATACTTTATTTATTATTATTTTTAATTAACAATAACAAATATGTGCTCATATGCTACAAAACATCAGTGCCAAACAACTATCGCTGGGCCAGGTTGCACTGTTTCTATTTCATAGATCAGAAAATGAAATGAATTGCTCCATCTTGTGATAGTTGGTTAGTAGGTCCTATGCTGAATATTAAACCTTTGGACAAGATCAAGAAAATATGAACTGCAGAGATTCCATGTTTTTTAATGCTAGTTTATATAAATTTTTACATTATATGAGGAGTCCCTTTGAATCATTAGAAAAAAATATTTCCAATTCTTACAACCTGGGCTGGCTCCGAGCCGTGTGGCGGAGGGGAAGCCAGGCGGGCGGGCAGGCGGGCTGCTTGGAGGAGGCGACCCGGCGGCGCTCCGGGCTTCCCCTCCGCCGTGCGGCTCGGGGCGAGGCGCGAGCGCCTGCGAGTTAAAACGAAGCCGAAAGTTGCTGGGAAGTTGCTCGGTTTTCCGGGGCTTCCAGGGCTTTGCAAAGGCAAAGTTTGCATGCTGGAGTGTCTTCCCGCTGAGGAGCGGGAAGGGTTCCGCCTGGCGGGCGGGGCGGGCTGCTTGGAGCGGGCTGCTGTGCGGCTCGGGGCGAGGCGCGAGCGCCCGCGAGTTAAAACGAAGCCGAAAGTTGCTGGGAAGTTGCTCGGATTTCCGGGGCTTCCAGGCTTAAACTTTGCAAAGGCAAAGTTTGCAGGCTGGAGCGTCTTCCCGCCGAGGAGCAGGAAGGATTCCGCCCGGCGGGCGGGCAGGCTGCTTAAACTTTGCTCGGGCGGCACTTTAAAAGCCTACTCCCAGCACCCGAGCAACTTCCCAGCAACTTTCGGCTTCCTTTTAACTCGTGGGCGCTCGCGCCTGGCCCCGAGCGGCGCGGCAGAGGGGAAGCCCGGCGGGTGGGCAGGCTGCTTGGAGGAGGCGACCCCGCGGTGCTCCGGCAGCAGCAACAGGCAGTTTCGCCCGGGCTCCGCTCAGGTGTCCGGCTGGGGCTGTCAGGAGTTGCTACCGCCGGCGGAGCTCCGTGCGGCTCCAGTCCCGCGTTGCCTTGGGAAGGAAAAGGCAAAACTAGGAGCCGCTGAGCCTGAGCCTCCGGTGCCGCTGCTCCCGTTGCAAAGCACCGCCGCGGCTCTTCCTTTTTGCCTTTCCTTTCCCGAGGCAACGCGGGACTGGAGCCGCGCCGGCAGTAGCAACTCCTGACTCAGGGGGCCTCCGAGGGGAGGGGAAGGAGGAGAAGAGGGGGGAAGGGGGGGGCGATTCCCAAAAAATCTTGTGCTGACCCGGCCCGTCTGTCAAATTTTAAAAGTCAATGCGGCCCCCGAGCCAAAAAGTTTGCCCACCCCTGGTCTAGAGCAAGGGTCATATATCTCAACTGTCCATGAGAGATATCATTGTCTTTGTTGGGATTGCTAAACATCTTGAAGTTCTCTGAGGTTTTAGATACTGAAAGGAGATGAGCATCCACGGGGAGAATGGAAGAGAAATGTCATCAATAATACTGAGTTTATGCAGGTGATAATCTAACTTTGGAACTTAATGAGACTATGATATCTGATCATCTAAACATCAAGCTCCATATAGCTGGCAAACATAAAATTTTAATGCTAGTGAAAATATTACCTTTAAAACTGTAAGAGTAAATTCCTGGGCAGACATATAATGAGCCAGTAAAGTTAGAGTCTCTTTCAAATGATTTCTTACCACAACCTTCATATCTGGGCAGTACTGCCTCTTCTCACACCAACTTAACTTATCCTTCTCTCCTTCCTGCCTTGCATACTGAAAACAGATGACAAGCTGCAGGATGATCGTCTTTCTATCATTTGGCAGAATGAGCAGGCTTTTGTGTCATTGTGGGTTCACAATAATGGTAAGCTTCTTTGCCAATTCTATGGTCAGAGTATTGTTAGAATAATACTGATAGAGATGTCCTTCTTTTATATTGAAAGAGAAATGGTTATGAATTCTAATATCCCATTTTGGTCAAACTGCTGATTACTAAGGCCTGAGAAGAAATTTATATTTGATCAAAAGCACACAGGTTATGTGCTCAAAACCAGAAGCTATTTATTAGAGTTGTACTGCCATCTGGTGGTCATCACTGAAATACATTTTATCTTTCCATTCTAAGCAGAACCAGTTATAAATTTCAACGGGTCCAACTTGTTCAGCTTTTTTATTTTTCTTCATGTAGGGAATTAAAAAAAAAATTAATCATTAAAAATCATTAATGCATCAATTTTGTAAAGCCTAGAGTGCTACATATTTAAGACTGCCTCTGTTAGCTTAGTGTCCCTTAGCAAATGAAGGGGTATTGTTTTTTCTTGGTTACAAACTTTGCAGAGATATATTTTGCATTCTAGTCCAAGTGAGAGAAAGACAAGCAACAATAAACACACGGAATTGTTCAAACAATGAACAAACAATAAAGTAGGGATTCTGAATAATGAGAGGTACAAACTATATGCAGCTAACTGAAATTTTGAGTTCAGCAACAGGAAACCAACTGGGGAAGGACATGACAGTCCTCACCCAATATTTAAACTCGAATCACATGTATCAGTCTACTATTAAAAGCTCAGAAAGCATCAGTCTACTATTAAAGTATCAGTCTACTATTAAAGGCTTCCATTGTACCAAATCAATAGGTAAGACTCTTTGGTGAAAACTATGAATGCAATAACCTTTCAGAATCGCAGCTTGGTCTTAAGATAAAGTCTGCCTTATCCTCTGATAATAAAAATTGAATACATTGTACATACCTGTTCATTATCACATGAATACCCATCTATTTTGTAGAGATTTGGAGAGCACTAAAGATAAAGCAGAATGAATTAAATAATCAACTGGTGAGATAACTGCAATATCTAAAATTAATTTGTTAAAAAGTTTCCTAAATCTTGCTTTTCATTAAATGCAGATAGTCCTTAACTTACAATAGTTTGTTTAGTGATCATTCAAAGTTACAATGGCACTGAAAAAGTGACTTATGCAGCATTTCCATTGGCATATGATCAAAATTCAGACATTTGGCAACTGACTCATATTTATGACTGTTGCAGGGTGCCAGGATCATGTTATCACTTTTTGCAACCTTCTGACAAGCAGTCAATGGGAAAGCCAGATTCATTTAACAACCATGTTGCTAACTTAACAACTGCAGGGATTTGGTTAACAACTGTGATAAGAAAGGTGGGGCAAAAGTCACTCAACAAATGTCTTGCTTTGCAACAGAAACTTTGAGCTCAATTGAGGTCGTAGGTTGAGGACTATCTGTAAAACTTCTCCAAAAATTATATTATTCCCTTTTTTATTAACTTTACCTGACTTGAGTCCCCTCTGCATGTCTCTGAAATGTCACAATCATTTACAGCTTCTCTGCAAATCACACCTTTGAGTTCAAACTGAAAAATAAAAAATAATATGTAGGGGCATCGATATATTTGCAATTGGTTTAATATAGATATCATAAATAATATTTTACTTCTAGTTTACCGGAGATTCTTAATACTACTCACATAATTAAAGGTATGATTCTGAAATGTTCAGTTTAAGATTTTCAGTCTTTAAAAAAATACGTCTATTGATTGATAATCTGTAACAAGTTCAGCACATGATACTGACGTTGTTATTTGTACTAACAATCATATGTTTAGAATATCTTTGTGGTTCCAGAGTTCAGTTATTGTATAACTAAATTGTTTAATCATAACTAAACATATTTGTCTGAAGCTAACTTTATCTACTCTTGACAAGCTAAACTAGATCAGATCAAACCATTTCAATTTGCTGGGGGGGGGGGATTTTACACAGAATGGAAAGGCTTGGAGTTTTGGGGGTTATGAGGCTCTTTCACAGCCTTAAAATGTATCCATCCAATTTTTGTGAATTAATTTACCCTTTTATTACATTTTTACCCTTTTATTACATTTTTATCAGTAACTTCCTTAATCTGATGCTTTTATATTTATGAGAGTTATACTAATGCAATTTCTATTGTTGATAAAATATTATCTACATAATTTACAAGATCAATAAATTTCAGTTAACACAAAGTCCAAAATCATAAAAACAGCCAGTGCTGTTTTTATAGTGTAGTGATTAAGGTATTAGACTGGTGTAACACTAAAGCTTACTGGATGACTTTCAGCCAGAGTACTTCTTTGTAAGAAAAGTTAGGAGGAAACACCATTGGATATATATCTAACACACATAAAAATAAAAAGTAAAAAAAAAAATCCTTGATTGCCCTTTGACATTTTATATGGTAGAATTTATATATTCTGGCACTGTACTGAATGAGATTATTTTTCAATCACTTCATCATCTCACTTTTTCGTTTTTGTTGCCATTAATTTTGAGAGCCAGGAAAGTCTACAGACAGCAGTTGCTAGTTCGTTTAGTTCACACTGTTGTGCTAACAGTGGTGCTGCACCATGAGATGACTAGTTTTATTCCGCAGCTGGAAGACCCAAATCCAGGAAGCTCCCATTGGCACTTGCACAACACCTGCCAAACAACTTTAACATTGATTCCCAATGGAAAGCCAAACATACACTGCACACCCAGACATAGGAAGACATATAAATGACTTCACACACAAAAAATGCCAATGGACAATCCTGAATAGGATTCACACCTTACATGGGGTCTACCGTGCATCTGTGTGACAGTGGGGTCCCATGTCAAACTGTAGATCACATAGTGATCAGCTAAGCTGAGGGCCGGTCCAATATCTGATTATTTAATCATAATTAAAAAAATAACTGTAATTGTATTACTAAAATCACATAATTTGTTAAATGTAAATATGATGAATACTATTTTACTTGCATCAAATGTGACTAGAAAAGGGATTTTTAAAAAATTAATGGTGCCATGATTAAACATTAAAAAGGGGACAAACAATGGGAAATTACAATTTAATATAAATTTGTGAATTATCAGAATTGTACCATTTGCAAATATGATTATTAATATATTATTATAATAAGAATGATGTTAAGAATATAGAGATTGACACAGAATTAACATACTGTAACACTGAATAATCATGATTGATAATTTAACAAAATATATTATTAATATCAAATTTTAAAAGATTGTCAGCGGTATTAAATACGAAGAATATTGTCATATTTATATTCAAATGTAAAGCTCTCCAGAACCACACTATTCACACAATAATAATATGTTTGTTGAAATAAAAAATAAATTCACTTAACAACTGTGGCAATATCTGATTTCTTTTTCATATAAACAATGCTGTGCTTCAACGGCTAGATGGCCTAGACATTGGTATTTGTATATACAGTAGATCTTCTCAACATTTATATTGTATTGTGTTTAATTAATCTAGATAAAATGTTAATATATATTGCTAGTCCATCTATGATATGCTATATGCTAAATATATAATCTCATAATTCCTTAAAACAAGAATGGTTTTTCCCCCAAGTCATTTCAATACGTACCTGACATTTTCTACAACAAAGTCCATTACTGCATTGAGAGTTAGCAGTTAGAGTGCAGGAACTGCAGCAATCTTCACCTTCAACATGACATTCCTAGGAAATGGAACCAATTGTGAAACAGCAGTTTGACAGAAACACGCTTCAGCTTGACCAGAAAACCGTTGAGATGCTCGCTACTCAAAATTTCACTTGCCTCCTTACTCTGGGCATAATCACATTTCAGATTACAAAACAAACAACAATGGCAGTATTTTGATAGCATGAGGGAGGAATGCCAGAAAAAAACATAGAACCTAGAATAATAGGGTTGGAAGGGACCTTGGCAGGAGATCCTATACTATTTCAGATTTCTTTAGGCTTGATGGGATGAATACATGTGATCGCTGAAAAAAATAACAGAATAGGAGAACAGAATAATAGAGCTGGAAGGGACCCCAGATGTCCAACACCCCATCCAAGCAAGAGATTCTATACCATTTTGGACAAATGGTTGTCCAATATCTTCTTAAAAACCTCCGGTGATGGAGCATCCACAACTTCAGGACACAAGCCGTTCCATTGGCTAATTGTTTTCATTATAAGGAATTTTCTCCTTAGTTCCAGGTTGTTTCTCTCCTTGATTAGTATCCATCCATTGCTTTTTGTCCTGCCTTCAGGTGTTTTGAAGAATAGGTTGTGGTATTAACATTTCACATGATCTTGATTCTATCTCTCTGTTAATGCAGCCTCAGACTGCATTTGCTTTCTGTTTGTGTGTGTGTGTGTGTGTTGCTTCAGCACACTATTGGCTCATAATTACCGTATATGCCGGCGTATAAGACGACCCGGCGTATAAGACGACCCCCCAACATTTCCACTCAAAATATAGTTTGTTATATACTCGCCCCCTCTTCCGCACGCCTTCCACTTTTGCACTTTTTTTTTTTTTTGAGGCACTTTTGTGCACCGTGGAAACGAATCCCGTGAAGCCGAAAGGAGCAGCCAGCCTTCTCCCAACTCCCAAGGAAACGAGGCTCGCACCGCCTGGGCTCCGCTGAGGTATCCGGCTGGGGCTGTCAGAAGTTGTTACCGCTGGCGCGGCTCCGCGCGGCTCCAGTCCCGCGTTGCCTCGGGAAGGGAAAGGCAAAAAGGAAGAGCCGCGGCGGCACTTTGCAATGGCAGCAGCGGCTCCTGGTTTTGCCTTTCCCTTCCCGAGGCAACGCGGGACTGGAGCTGCACGGAGCCGCGCCAGCGGTAACAACTCCTGACAGCCCCAGCCGGATACCTCAGCGGAGCCCGGGCGGTGCGAGCCTCGTTTCCTTGGGAGCTGGGAGAAGGCTGGCTGCTCCTTTCGGCTTCACGGGATTCGTTTCCATGGTGCGCAAAAGTGCCTCAGCCGTGGGCAGCCGCAGTGCTTCCCAATTACTATTTGCCGGCGTATAAGACGACCCGGCATATAAGACGACCCTCCCAATTGGAGGCATGTTTTTCAGGGCAAAAAAGTCGTCTTATACGCCGGCAAATACGGTAACTGGTTGTCTACTAGGATTCCTAGATCCTTCTCATAGTTACTACTATTGAGTCAGGTTTCATCTATTCTGTACCTTTCATTTGGTTGTTCTTGCCTAAATGTAAAACATTACTTTTTGCACCAGTGAATTTCATTTTGTTAGGTAGGACTCAATGTTCAGGTCTGTCAAGATTCTTCTGGACCTTGAGCCTATCTTCTGAAGTATTGGCTATTCTTGTTAGCATAGTGTCATCTGCAAATTACAAGTTCCTCTTCTATCCCTTCAGCTAAATTGGGATGTCAAACTTGCAGCCCACAGACTGGATGCATCATGTGCTGGCCCTGCCCCGCCTGGTTTAGCAAATGGGGGAAAAGTCCCCATACGTCACATGACGCCGTGACAATGCGAGTTTGACACCCCTGAGCTAAATCGTTTATGAAGATGTTAATGAGTACTGGGCCTAAGACAGAACCTTAAGGACTACATGTTGAGTGCAGTTTGTTAGCCATTTATTTACAAATCCATCTGGTGATGCTGTCTATCCCACATTTTTCTAACTTACCAAGAAATAGGTTGTGGTCTATATTGTCTTACCAAAATCTAAGTATACTATGTCCACAGCATTTTACTGGTCTTTTAATTTAGTCACTTTGTTAAAGAATGAAATAAGCTTTGTTTAGTATGATTTGTTTTGGACAAATCCATGTTGGCCTCTGGTTACAACTTTGCTTGCTTTTAGGTGTTCGCAAATGTGTTGCTTAATTATGTTTTCCAGCATCTTTCCAGTTACTGATGTCAGGCTGATTGGTCTGTAATTTCCTGGATCCATTTTTACCCTTATTTGAAGAAGTAAAAAAGCAAGGAAGGAGCACATTGGAGTTCAAGATGGCATTAATTCAATTCTCATTTGTATGGTACAATTGAATGAAAAGTAATACCCTCACCTCCATAACTTTAATTAGGACTATTATAGAAAAATAATGCTTTGAGTTTTTAATTACCTTTGTTTATTTCTCCACATAAGCACATTCGTTACACTTCACATTGTTACATTTCTTACACACCCCTCCAAATGATGGACAACTTTCTTAAAGCTGTCACAAAGGTCTCTGGATTGTCTCTTTAGCCAGGACTTGACCATCCTTTCTAATTTTTCATCAGTTTCAGTCAAACAAATGCCCACGAAGGGAAAATTTTGTGAAATGAATAGCACCAAAACTGTATAATACACCGAGTAAGACACTGAGCTCCAGCTTTGTAATTGCTTATTGGATAACTCATGAGGCATGGGATCATATATTGTTATATTGCAGCAAAATTTTCTTCTTGCACTTCTGCTTAAAAGTTCTCTCAAAATCTTGAGTGTTGAAATGTGGCACTCTTAGTTGATCATAGTACTAGGCTCAAAAAAATCAAAGAATAGCTCTTGCACCTCAAAAATGACAACCATTTTCCTGCTGAATCCTTTGTTTTGAATTTTTGTTTCCATCATTACTTGTGATAATATTTCACGGCCTGATACTTTGCTTCTGGATCATAACGATGAGTCTATGTTTCATTCACTGTCACAGTACTGTGAAGAAAATCCTCATTGTGGTTTTTGAAGAGTAATTGCTTGCAAATTGCAACTCTGGAAATTTTCCTCTCTACTATTATGGTGCAAAGAACTCATTTTGCACAAATTATTCAATATTGAAAAACATATCTAAACTTATTAGAAAGAACCTCTTAACTAAAATGGAAGAGCTGCCCCTAATTAGCCATGTAACAATGAATTTACCGATTGAGTGCCACAATCGCATTCTTCCCCAGTTTCAACAAAACCATTACCACATTCTGGGGGATCCAGGAGCTACAATACAAAAATGAGAAAGCATTAAAAATGTGGCATATTAGCATCTTGCCATGCATGATGACAGATGGTAAAAGATCCTTATTTCAATGGACAGAAAAGACGTAGATGTAATTATAGAAATGGGTGCTATACACCTCCTAGTGTACAAGTCCTGATTTTCACATTTTCATTTAATGAGGAAAAATGTTCCAGGACCACAATAAGCCATTGTCCCTCCTGCTGTAATGCTGAAACACAAAAATGTTTTTTTAAATCAGGCTTAGCGGATAGGATGCAAGTCTATGATATTCAAAAAATATTGCACGAATTAGAAAAAAACATTTAAGAAAGAATATCAGTGACTGCCAAGTATAATATCCAAGCCATATTTATAGTGAAATCAAGCTTTTTTTATATGTACATATGGTATAAAAACCTGCTATTTCTGAGTTTAAGATTTTGCTTTGTTAGTCTCAATTTAGGGTATTTGCTTCTGATCTTTTTAATATTAGTCCTCACATATTAGCAGTGGATTCTTAGTAAGAAAAAGGATTGCAATTAGGTTTGGTTTTTTTCTGTGACTAATAACTATTTTTGGATAGCTACACCATTCAGAGATAAAATGCCATTCTTGATCAAAAGAATTTGGGCATCTTGATTTCTTAAAGAAAAATCACTAATAATAATAATCTGGCTGACTGTGAAACCAATCATAATAAGCATTATTATAACAACTTCCATATGCTTACTATCAAACACTTCAATCAGGCATTTCAACACAACTGTCATGAGACTGTTAAATTAAGAACTAAAAAAGAAAAATTTGCAAACAGAATTATTTTTGTTTTTACCTTGGAAGGCTTGTTGAAAAGGCAGGCTCCCCCACCATTATTTAAAAAATCATGGTATTCCTCAATATCACATTTGGAAAACTTGGTTGGAAGATAATAACTGTGATAAAAAAAAACAACCAACCCTCAGTTTATTTCTACAGAATTAAAAAGGAATTTCATTCTGCAGCTGGGCCACAAAGTTATTTCATGATCAAATTAAAAAAAAATAGGAGAACTATTCATAACTCTGAATTTTCTGGAACACCAAGCTAGATAATTTTATTAAGTTATTATTTTCTCTACTTTCATATCTGCAAATGACATGATACATTAAAAACATGTTTAATTAAGTTGATGCAGTATGCACTTGCAATCTTCAGCTTGGGCTTTGTTAATGCACAATTCTCTAAGTTTTATACAAAAATATTCAAAGCTATACAACAAATACGATGTAGGCTTTCACATGCCACTAAGATATATGAAATAGGTGTTATGAATACAAGTGTCCAGTCAAATATTCTTGTTATTTTCGTAATATAGAATGGCAATTTAAACTTGCACTGTGTTTTGCTCTGGGAGAACTATTACTAATAACAACATTGAGAGCATTTTGGGAAATACTTGTTTCTAGGCTAGAATTTTCCATGTCTGACATAGCATTTTATAGCATTTTATAAGTCAAAGACTTTGTGAAAAGGATATCTTTTTATACATTGGGACGAGTATTCAGGGAATTTGTCAGGCTGGTATATTATCTTCTGAAAATCTGTGATACTATTCACTAGTCAGAGAGATTTTTTAATCCAGAGACCTTCACATGTCTTCCAGATTCAGATCTATATTGGTTCTGGTGTACCCTGAATCTGGAGGTTTCAATCAGTTATTGTAGTTAATATCTGTTGAGCAGCCTATGCACCATAAATTTGTCTAAATGCTTTTCTAATCATCTATCAGGTCTCAAAGTGGAAATCTCTCCAAATGATGAAGAATTAATGTACATATATATTTAGGTACATACATATTTATGTACCTAAATTCTTAGGAGTGAAGATGTCAGGAGTTATACCTGGAGTAACATAGATGAATATCTTCTTTTCTTAATGTAACTAACAATCAATCACTGGGATTCATAATCATTGGTACAAATATGATACTAAAACTGTATATGTAAAATATTTATGTGTGTTTTCAAATCTCTCTTGGCTTCTGGAGAATCCACACAGTTTTTATAGCAAGATTGTTATGGAAATGGTTTTTCACTGATTTCTTCTTCTTCTCTGAAAGAAAATGACCAGGTTAAAATCACCCAATGGGTTTAACCCCTAAGGCAGAACTATAATTCATTGTTGCCCAGATTCTAGCCTGATGGTTTAACCACTACACCAAACTGGCTCTCAAAGCAAATTAACTATGCATTAATTGATTAATTCATACATCAGTGTCAACTGAATAATATACATATCATTTTTCTGTTAACAGGTTTTCATCCAATAACTATCTGCTAATTTACATTTCTACTGCATAGAAATATCTGAAAGAAAATCTCTTACCCTGTATCTCCCATTATACATCCGGACCAGGTGTCTTCACATTTACATTCACCTAAAATAAATAAAATAGGCAAATCACATTACAATATATAGGAAAGTGAGAAATCACATATCAGATATCTTAAATAAATGTAATTAATAAATAAATAGCATCACACAAGCTGGCGACAGTTAATAGTCTGTTTTAATAGAATATGAAACATTGTACCCATGCAAATATGTTATCAGAAATTTGTTATTTAAATTTGGTGCAAGTCACTATTTTGTCATAGAGTTCCACCTTTTGGGAACTTGAAAGCTTGACTTCTTTGTCATGGCACCTGCCCTCTGGGAATGAGATCTCCTAAAATCTTTGATGCTCCCACCCTATTGGCATTCTGTAAGTAAGGAACAGAGGACTGGTTGTTCTCCCAATCTTTGGGCTAAAATGGATGAAACCCAGGTTGGATGTGTCTATATTTTTGTATAAACTGCATGGATATCCTCTTGTTTTGTTTTGCATTCTGTTTTTTGCAGTTTGTTATATAGGTAGTCCTCAACTTACAACATTCATTTACTGACTGCTCGAAGTCATATAGGTTATATGGTAGTCCTCAATTTACAGCATTCATTTACTGACTGTTCAAAGTTACAAGGGCACTGAAAAAAAATGACTTATGACCAGTTTTCACATATATGACTGTTGTAGAATCCCCATGGTCACATGACCAAAATTCAGCCGCTTGACAACTGATTCATATTTATAATGGTTGCAGGGCCCTTGGATCATGTGATCATCTTTTGCAAATTTCTGACAAGCAAAGTCAATGGGGAAGCCAGATTCACTTAACAACTATGTTATTAACTTAACAACTGTAGTAATTCACTGAACAACTGTGGCAGGAAAGGTTGTAAAATAGGACAATATTCACTTAACAGATGTTTCGCTTAGCAATGGAAATTTTGAAGGCATTTATGGTCAAGTCAAGGACTACTTGTAATACAACATATACCACTGTTCATGGTTTATTTTAAATCTTTGTTCCAAAAAATTGAATATGTATTTTATGTATTCATAAATACATAATAAATACATAAATACATACATTCATCATATCACAGTGCAATGTAAATGTATCACAATAGCTACATCTCATGTCTTATACAATCAGAATACAAAAGATAAAGTGTTTCCCCCCCAAATAATACATTATTGTTATTTTTGTTACAATCTGATAAATTGACTAGGATATCAACATACCTTTATCCATACAGTCCTTTAAGAAGTTTGTTAGGAATGTAAGTCACCTAACAGTTGGGTTGAAAAATATATAAACCAGGATAGACATTTTAATACTGTCTCTTTAAGGGAATGCTAAAATTGTAATTGGGTGTGGTTCCTCAAACGGTTATAAGATGGAGCTAGAAACCCGGGTTGTCCTGTTCTGGAGAGTGTTGCCGTTCCTGCATTTCCCTATTGACTGTCACTGATCATTGTTATTCTTGGATTTGATGTAAGTCTGTTACTAAACTGTTTTTGATACTGGACTTTGTTATTGGATTATTCCTGGACTGAAAACTGACTGCTTTAACCGTGAATGACTTAGACTGTTTGTTGAACTTTGCTTAAACGTTTATTGGAAGTAAAAACCTACATTTTACTATACAGTGTATCCATGTGCTGATTGTGTGTTATTCTTCACCACTCTCACTACGTCTCCCTGTGTGCACTTATTCTCCTAACAGGGAATTACCTCAACACTGGTTATGGCCGCAGGCCATACCAGGCTCAGATAACTGAGACAGCTGTTTACTGTCTAATTGTGGTTTCCTGTCCTGGTAAAGATGGCACAAGACACTTCAACAAGTCTATCACTGATAACCCAGTTGGATGGAACAAACTATGTTTCCTGGTCTATGAAGTGCAGTCTACTTCTGCGTAGAGGATTATGGACTGTAGTTCAAGATCCACCGGATATAAATGCTTGGGATCCAGATGATGAAGACGATGCCAAGAAGTTAGTTGACTTTAAATGAAACAACGAACGAGCTCTTTGTATAATTGGATTAACACTGAGTGACCAGCAGCTTGTCCATATTCGTGGAGAAGAGTCTGCTGCTAAGTGTTGGGAGAATTTGAAGAGGATTTATGTTCATGAAAGTGTAGGTGCACACATACATCTTACACTTAAACTGTTTAGAGCACGTCTTCTGAAAGGTGGAGATATGTTAACTCATTTGAACTTCATGAAAAGAACTTTTCAAGAGCTACATGAAAAGGAACTGATATTTTCAGAGCTGCATCAAGTTTACATCATTCTTTCCTCATTGGATGAAAGTTATGATGATTACATATCTTCACTGGAAGTCCTGCCCAGAGATAAACTGACATTGACTGACATAACCGGAAGGTTGTTAGAAGAGGCAGGAAGACGGCTGGATAGGGACCAACCGAGGAAGGAACAACCACAAGAAGAGGATTTGTTTTCAACTGCCTATACTGTTAGGAAATGTTTTTCTTGTGGGGCTAAGGGACATATAGCTAGATTCTGTAAGAAGAGAAAACAACAGAATATTGGTAATCACCAGAAGGTTAAGAAGAATGTTAGTTTAGCTATGTCTACCAATTCAACTATAAACCATGATTTGTGGGTTGTTGATAGTGGAGCATCGCAGTGCATTACTAGAAATAGAGAGAGGTTTATAAAGATGTCTACAAGTAAGGAACATGTATCATTGGCAAATGGATGGAAGATGAAAGCATCTGGTGAAGGTACTGCATATTGTTCTTGTGTAAATGAGCATTTAACTATATGTATCTAAACTGAAATTTAATTTGTTATCAATAAGGGCTTTAGTTAATCTTGGTTATGTAGTAACCTTTAGGGGAGATAACTGTATTATAGAGAAAGAGGGTAAATTATTACAGCAAACAGACTGAATGGGTTTAAGACCAAAGAACCTTTAGAGGTTGTGTTTGCTGTCCTAAGAAACCCAGTTTGGAAGGTGCCTGCTATGTTTTGAATATAATGGACCATTACTCATAGTACGGTTTCTGCTATCTCGTGAAAAACAAAACAGAAACATTCCAACATTTATTTAATTGGCTAAGGTTTTCAGAGAGAAAAATGAGGAGTAAAGTAATTACTTTAGTTACTGATAACGGGACTGAGTTTGTTAACAATAGATTCCAAACAATGCTAAAATTGGCTGGTGTCGAGCTTAAACGTTCTGCACCTTACAGATCACAACACAACTCGTTCATAGAACGAAGAGGGCAAACATTACAAGCCATAGCTTGCACTATGTTATCTGATTCAGGTTTGCCTGAAGCACTGTGGGGTGAAGCCATAATGTATAGCAATCATATGTTAAACAATGTAGTTAACACAACAACTGAAGAATTGCCATTCACTTGTTGGCATGGCAGAAAACCAAATTTACGTTATCTACACACATTTGGAGCTCCAGCATGGGTGCATTCCCTCACAAGATTGAAAGGACAACATAGAGCTAAGAAATTATTTTTTGTAGGTTATGAAGCCAACCATAGGTCATTTAGATTTTGGGATCCAGGCACAACTCATGTTTACTGTAGTGCTAGTGCTAAATTTCTTGAGCACGTTGGGTGGGATAAATTGGAACAGGAATCCAGCAATGATGTTATTATTGACACCAAAGTAGTCCCTAAAGATGAAATAAGTAAACCAAGAATAGCCATTAAAAAGGAAGAACAGGCACAGGAGGAAGTAGAACAGGCACAGGAGGAGCTAGGAGAACAGGAGCAGGTGGAACAGGTGAGTCCACCAGTAAGCCCTGTATTACCGAGACCTTCAACCCAAATAACACGACTACCTGATAGATATCAGGCTAGTCTTGTATGCCAAGTGAATACAGTTCCTGGTAACTATAATGAACTAAAACTATATCCTGCTAAGGATCAGGCTGCTTGGCAGGAAGCAATAGATAAGGAACTGAAATCCTTACAAAGGTTGGAGGTATACGAAAATGTTAAGTTACCATCTGGTAAACATGCCATAGGGTGTAAATGGATTTATAAACTAAAGACTACTATGGATGGGACTGTTACTCATAAAGCCAGGTTAGTAGCACAAGGGTTCAATCAGACAGCAAACGACTACAATGAGGTGTATGCGCCTAGTCTGAAGGCTACTACATTATCAGCAGCATTAGTGTGGGCAGCTAAAGAGACATACATTACAAATCATTTAGATGTAGAGACGGCATATCTGCATGCACCGTTGCAACACACTATATATTTGGAGAAACCTTTAGGTATCAAAAATGATAATACAACTGATTGCTGGAGATTGAGAAGGAGTCTTTATGGCTTGAGGCAATCGGGATATGAATGGAGCCAGCGTGTAGTTGAGGAATTGACTAGGATAGGTTTTGTAGCTGGCATGGCTGATCCATGTTTGTTTGGGAAGGAAAGTGGTAGTGTAGTGTCATTGTTGCTGTTGTTCACTGATGACATAGCATTAATCGCCAGAACTGAACAAGAGGCTACTGAAATAATATCACTGTTGGAGAAGAAATTTAAAATAAAATAGTTAGGTGAAATTGGACAATATCTTGGTTTAAAGATAGATAGAACGAGGGGAGGCTACAAAATCTCACAGGCAGATGAAATTAACCAATTACTAAAGAATTTTAAAATGGAACTTTGTAAACCGGCAAAAACACCGATGACCCAGGAGTTTAGCCATAGTGATGTTCAAAGTCCTGTTTTTGATAAGAACATTTATCAGTCCTTGATTGGTAGTTTATCTTATCTCAGTAATTGGTCAAGGCCAGATATAGCATACAGTGTTAACCAATTAGCAAGATTTAACGCTGAGCCAACTGAAAGTCATTGGCAAGCTGCTAAGCATGTGTTAAGATATCTGAAACAAACAATGCCTTATGCATTGTATTTGGAGACAAAAGATGAAATGAATTTAACTGCATATGCTGATGCAAGTTTTGCTACAGACATAAATACACGTAAATCTACGTCAGGTACTGTAGTATTATTAGGAAATGTGTTGATTGGATGGAGGTCTATTCAAC